AAAGCCAGTCTAGAAGTATTGACCTCATTTGTGGTTCCAGGTCAGAATGCAGAACTTCAAAATGCTTGTCATGAACATACCTGCTTTCCTTTTTTAACATGTTTAGCCACACCTCTTTTGAACATCCCCAGCTATGGAACAGGAGAAAAATACAATTTAAATTCTATTTATATAATATAAAAACTGTCTGTTTTACATAGAATAAATAAAACTTTCAAGCAGAACTTGGAAAAAGCTCATAGATTAGGAAAAAATGTCTGTCTTTTCAAAGAGATTTATTTATTTAAAAAGCAAAGAGACAGGGAGAAAGAGCCATACAGTTGAGGCTGGGCAAGGCCAAAGCCAAGAACCAGTGACTCCATCTTGGTCTCCTAGGTGGGTGGCAGGGATTAAAGTACTTGGGCTATCTTCTGCCTTCCCATGTGCATTTGCAGGAAGCTGGATCAGAAGTGGAGTAGCAGGGACTCAAACCGTGCTCTGAAAATATGCTGGAGGCACTAGAAGCACTGACTTAACCTGCTGTATGACGACACTGGCCCTATTTTAATTTTTAGAAACATTTCTTTTGCATCAGAAAATAGAAGTCTGGGGGCTGACATCCCATATGGGCACTGGTTTGAGTCCCACCTGCTGTACTTGCAATTTTGCTCCCTGCTAATGCACCTGGGAAAGCAATAGAAGATGGGCCAAGTGCTTGGACTCCTGCACCCAAGTGGGAGACCTGGAAGAAGCTCCTGGCTTCAATCTGGCATAGCCCTGGCTGTTGCAGCCATCTTGGGGAGTAAACCAGCAGATGGAAGATCGATCTCTCTAGCTGTCTTTCCATAAATTTTAAATAAATATTAAAGAAAAATAAGCCTGAAATGATATACCAAGAACATGGCCTACAATAGTTGGTAGGTGTTTAAAGAGTGCTTTTCAAAGACCAGCATTGTGGCTTAGCAGGTTAAGCTGCTGCCTGTGATACTGGCATCCCAAATGGGTTCAAGTTTGAGTCCCAGCTGCTCCAGTTCCAATCCAGCTCCTTGCTAATGTGCCTAGGAAAGAGAAGCAGAGATGGCCCAACTGTTTGGGCCCCTGCATCCATGTGGGAGACCTGGAAGCAGCTCTGGGCTCCTGGGTTCTCCCTGGCATGCCAGCTATTCTGGCCATTTGGGAAGTGAACCAGTCCATGGAAGACTGCTGTCTGCCTCTCCCCCATGTAACTCCACCTTTCCAGTAAGTAAAAATAAATCTTAAAATTTTCAAGGGTTACTGTTGAAGTTTTTCCCAAAAACATTAAAAAGTTAAAACATATTATCACAATAGAGACAAGTCTCAATCACCTGCAAATAGATCATCAATAGTAGTCACCTCTAAAGGGAGTAAGGTAGCACAAAGTGTAGAGGAGGAGGAGGAGTGAGTTTTTAAATGTCTGATTCCATTAATTTGTTTATTAAAGCCAATACATTGCATTTTGTATAAGCTGTACTTATACAGACTTAAAAAATATAGGTGTTACTAAGTTTGGTAGTAAATGTATACATCAGTTGAACATGCCATACAGGTTAAAATGTTTGTCTTAATTTAGGTAAGTTATTTAAACTCCATTAGAAAAGTTCTGGTGGGCAGGTGTTTGGCACAGCAGTTAGGTCACTGCTTTGGATGCCTACATCCCAAGAGTGCCTGGGTTCAAGTCCTACATCTGCTTCTGATTCCAGCTTCCTGCTCATGCACACCCTAAGAAGGTAGCAGATGATGGCACAATTGGTTAGGTCCCTGCCACCAACCTGGGAGATCTGGATTGGATTCCAGGCTTCTGGCTTTGGCCTGGCCCATTGTTGGGCATTTTGGGAGTAAAGTAGTGGATAGGAGACCTCTGTCTCTCCGAGTTTCAAATAAAAGTTTTTTTTTTTAAAGTGCTTTTAAGTTTGATAATACTCAGCAAACACAGGAAAATTATTTTATAGATTATGTTTTAAATACCCATATCATGTGCAACATGCTTAGCAGTATGGAAAGCGGTTGTTTTTTTCTTCACATTTTTTCTCTTATAGTGAAAGCAAAAGATAACTTGAAATAGTTATATTAAATCAGTATAATTTTAATCTGATATAAAGTCACTGAAATTTTTCTTACCTTAAATCAGGCAAAGGTGAAGGATTAATAAAAAGATTTGTGAATCTGTAATTTGTAAATCTGGAGAAGTCGCTTGTTCCTATTTCTTTATGGGGTGTTTCAATAATAATGCAAGGACTGATTCCCCCAGATAATACAGGTGGCCAGCAATTCTGTCAGTATAAAAAAAAAAAACACAACTATTTGTGCAATAGGAAACCTTAGCTTTTGTTCTGTATGTTTCATAACTGAAAGCTAATATTTCTAGGCCATCTGTAGTTTTAGCTAATATAGCTGACAATCTAGCTAACTTGACATTCATATTTTATAAATAAAGACATACTGCTCTTTCAGTCTTCATACAGAGTAACAGGATGTTTTAGACAAAAATCCTGGTAATAAAGACATTCTGTATTAAAGTAGGAGTAAGAACAAAATATCTTTTGTATAAAATGCTAATCACCTTCAAGATCATAAAATGCAGTTGTCTGTATTTAGAAATAGCAGGGGTACTTTTAAAAAATTTTTAAGTTAAACCTGTAGTGATATTTCAGAATATCACAGTACTTTAATTCAAGACCTTAAAAATTGAATCAAGTGGAACCAATTACTTAAAGGACCTTTTATCCAATAATGCGGGTTTCAAAGGGAATTACTATCTTTAAATTGCTTTCTGTACAAAATATAGGAAGAAGAGGTAGCAAAGGGTGGCTTCTAGGCTGTCAGAGATCTCACATCCTATTTATGCCCAAGAAGCAGCTATTAGGATCCTGCACGATAGTCTGAGAGGGAACAAAGAGTATATCAGACAGATTAGGCGGGCCCTGGTGCACCAGGCAGTTCCAAGAGGGAGGGATTTACAAAAAGGAACCAGCTGCTTCAAGGCAAACTTACTCTGCAGCTGTAGTAGGATTCAAGCACACAGAAACCACCCCAAAACAAGCACCTTCCTGCTAACCTCTGAGGGGATTCAAAAGTAAAAGTGTCAGTAATCTTTCTATTGCCAAGCAGTAACACAGAATTCCGTTAATGGTATCCGTATCTGGTATTTGACGCCCCAAGCCCGCCCAACCCAGTTCTACCTTACCCTAATCTCATACTGATGTTTCTTGGTGACCTTTTCCTCTTTTCTCTTTTTGACATCCTGAAAAATAGAAAGAGCGTTAGTAAGCTAAAGTCCCAGCGAGTAAGTAATTTTCCCCCTCCTTTTTCCCTTAAATCACCTGGGCTGTTTTTCTCTTCTTGGCTTGGATTATCTGGGCTTCTTGTGGGGAATCCGTCTGACTGGGCTGGGACTGCTGCTTAGCTTGTAAACGGCTACTGTTGGTGAATTGTGGAAAAGGAAGTTTAATTAGTAAGTCATGCGTTTCGAAGGCAGCCGCTAATTTTGAAACATGTCTCCAAGACAAATAATATTACCTGCGTCTTGACATTCTCTTCTTCCAGGTGTATGAAAACTCTAGTGGGGGGGGCGGGGGGGAGAAAAAACAGAGTCAAATAGGCTGTCATCCATAGTCCCACATGACGGCCAGTTCCCTCGGAAGGTGGTCTGAGCCATTTTACCGCGCTGTCTCCTGCACTGGTAATTAACTTCGGATACATGCCTGCATTTTCTCCACTGAATGTGCAGAAATTGCACCCCGGACACCGTGAACGCGCAGGAAGGCAGGTCTCCCCGAAACGAGGAGTTTGGGTCCCTCCCCTCCTCCCTTGTCCAGCCGGAGTGGGGCTTGCGGGGCGGCCCCTTGGCCGCCTGCACGAACCCTGGGGAGCGAGGGCTGAGGAGGCCCAGCGCTGTGGAGAAGCCGGTTCCGCGCCAATTTGGAGAGCGGCGGCGGCGGCGGGGAGCAGGGGGCGGAGGAACCGAGACTGGTGTCACGTCCTCCAGCCCACTCTCCCTCCTGCCCAGGCTCCTGGGCGCTGCCCGCGCTTGCAGCGGCACCGGACCCCCACTCCAGACGCGGGCAGCGGGCAGAGCAAAGGGGGCAAAGGAGAAACTGGGCTGGTCCAACTTTCCTCCCCGTTTAGGGGCCCGGACCCCCGTCCCTCTCCCGCCGGACAGCTCTCCAAATGCGGATGGGACTGAGACGTCCCTAGGATGAGGGACTTTTCCTGGCCTCTACTTAGGGACGGCCTCCATCCCCTGTCGCGTTTCCATCCCTTGCCGGGGTCCTGACAGGGAGGAATCGCGGGGACCCATCCCCTGCCAGTCGTCTAGTTCCCCACCGTCCCATCTTTCCTCCCCCACGCTCCCGCCCGCGGGAAGGATCGGCCCAGCAGGGCTTTCTTTGGTCCCACATCCCCCCGCCTCTACGCCCAGCACCTCCTCACCGCCAGACCCGCTACCGCTCGGCTCAGCTGGCGCCGGCGCCAACCCAATATATAGGCCGGGCCGGGCCCGCCCCGCACGCATGCGCCCCAGACTGACACCTCCGGACAGCGCGCTCCCCTCCCCCGCCCGCGCGCCAGTCGCCCGCCCGCGCGCGCGCCGCGCCAGGCCCTGCCTTCAGCGCGCGCCGATCCTTTCCCAATGGCAGCGCGGCCCCCTGCGCTCTGCTTCACCTGCCCTCACGGCAGCGGGCGGCGGAGTCACTCAGAGGCGCCTCATAAAGGGGTCCCCGCCGTCGGGCTCCTACCCCTTCCCACCGCACCTCCCGCATCTGGGGCTGTCAGGCCGCGGACGCCACGGCGTACGACGAGGCGGCGGCGGCTCGGGCGAGCATTCCGAGTCAAGTGCCCGGGGAGCGCGGTCCTGCGGTGCTCCCGGCTGTCCCGCCAAGGCCTCAGGGAACCCGGGTTTTCCTGAGAGAAGCGGGGCCGGGGAGGACCCGCCCCTTGAGGCGGAGCGCCGCTCTGGCACACGCGCTGGCCAATAGGAGGCCAGGGCGGCTGCACAACGTGGAGCGGCTGCGGATGTAAACACAGCCTGGGGCGCCGCGGGACACGTGCGCCGCGCGCCAGCCGCCGGAGCCCGGGAGCCCGGGGCCGCCTCTGCCCCGCCTCGGTGGCCACGCTCCGGGATGGCGTCTGCAGCCGAGGTACGTTCCAGCCCTGTTTTCCCGTCCCTGCTCCCCGTGGGCTGGCTTACTGCTCCCCCAGCCCGCCCCTTCTAGCAGCTGCCCGCGCGGGAAACGCTCACGCCGGCCTGCCTTTCCTCTCCTCCAAACCCGGTCCCCGCAGGACAAAACAGCTTTCGGGGACGGACAGGGATGGCATTTCCCCCTCCCGCAAGCGCGGCGGCCCCCGGGGCTCCTGCTGCCGAGAACGGTCGCCTCCACGTGCAGGCCTCGGGCCCGCCCGCCGCGCCCCGCCCCGCCGCCAGCGCGCCCTGCAGAGCCCGCGCGAGCCGCCTGCGCGGGAGGGAACCGCCCGCCTCCGAGCGCTCGCGGTTGGCGCCAGGCCCGGCGCGTTTCCTCAGCTTTCCCCCGGAGTTTAAGCTTCAGGGCCCCCAGCTCTCTCTGTGTATGCCCCCCGCCCCAAGACTGCACATCCCCGAGCGGGACGTGCGGACGGTACTCCGTCAGCGGGCTTTGCGCGCACGGCTGCAGGAACAAAGCCCCTCGGGGCGGAGGCTCCCCGGAACCCGCGGCAGCCGGGGCCGGAGGCGGTAGACCGGCGTCCGACCTCCCCGGCCCCGAGCGCGGAGCCCTTCCCGAGATGCACCAGGCGGCGGGGCTGCCCGCCCGGCCTTTGTGCTCCGGGACCTGCGCTCTCCCGGCGCTCCGGCCGGCGAGTCTTAAGCATGCTTCCCCTTTCGATACCGTTTCACGACCCCGCCAGAGGTGTTCTCTCCCCCGGTTTTACGCCTAAGGGGCTTGCCCGTGGTGATGCAGAGTGAGAAGGGGTCCTTGCCCTGTTTGCGATGGCTCCCTCTGCAGCCGTTCAGGCGCTGCGTGGAGCTCTAGCATCCTGAAGGCCAGGAAAGGGAGTCTCCCACAGGCTTGGCGTTAGCTGAGCGCCAGCGAAACTGGCGGCCTACAGAAGCTGCTGGAAATACACTGGGAGCCGGGAATGTCTGTTACCATGGTGCGGTTAGCCTCTGAGTATTGTACACCCAACTCTCTTAACAGAAACATACGTGGGTCCTCCCCTGGACTAGGATGTGCCTAGAGAGCTTTGGTGGTGAAGCAGAAATTGGGAACAATCCCAAGACAGCCCGGCGGCATCCCAAGTACCTGGTCAGACAGATGGGTCTGTAAGGAACGTGGGCTCGCCGTCTGCGCTGGTGCAGGTCACTAGATCCCTCTGAGCGCTGCTTTTCTCTGGAAAAGATGTAACAAGACACTCGTCTCCAGGGTTGTTTTAAAGGGTAAATTTGATCAGAGAGAGAGAGATGCTGTCTCCCATATGTACCTGTCACAGGGCAGATGTTCAGTAAGCGTTAGCTCCTCTTGCTTTTATCCACCCCGCTTTGCCAGTAGAAATTTAAAAGTTATTTGAAGGACTATACATGAAACAAGGCTGAGTTATAAAATTTCTGTTTCCGGAATGTTTAGTCATCCTTTATGGGTACCTACGTTAGGCATCATAGTTCAGTTTTTCACCCTTGCTTCATGTTTTCACATGTTCATTTTAAGCTTCCTCTTTTCATTGTTTTTTTTTTTTTTAATTTATTTTATTTATTTGAAAGAGTTACAGAGAGGTAGAGACAGAGAAGTCTTCCATCTGCTGGTTCACTCCCCCAGGTGGTTGCAGTGGCAGGAGCTGTGCCAATCAGGAGCCAGGAGCTTCTTTCCAGTCTCCCACGTGGGTGCAGGGGCCCAAGGACTTGGGCCATCCTCCACTGCTGTCCCCCGCCACAGCAGAGAGCTGGATCAGAAGAGGAGCAGCCGAACTAGAACCGTGCCCATGTGGGATGCCGGCGCCTCGAGCCAGGGTGTTCACCCACTGTGCCGCAGCACCGGCCCCTTCACTCAGTTTTAAAACTCACCTACTTTGGAATACCTGAAATTCTTTTATACTTGCAATAATTTCAGAAAATGTTTAACACTTTCTAAAGTACCTTTTTCCTATTGTACAAGCAAAGTTAAAACATCATGTTGAATAAACTGTTGACCATGTGTGTCTTTTGGGCAGTTATTTGATTGCCCCCACAGTATTTCTGGGGGAAGAAAAACGAGATTCTTGGAGACATAGGTTTAAAAAGACAACCAGGGCCAGCGCCGCGGCTCACTAGGGTAATCCTCCACCTTGCGGCGCCGGCACACCCGGTTCTAGTCCCGGTCGGGGCGCCAGATTCTGTCCCGGTTGCCCCTCTTCCAGGCCAGCTCTCTGCTGTGGCCAGGGAGTGCAGTGGAGGATGGCCCAAGTATTTGGACCCTGCACCCCATGGGAAACCAGGATAAGTACCTGGCTCCTGCCATCGGATCAGCGCAGTGCGCCAGCCGCGGCGGCCACTGGAGGGTGAACCAACGGCAAAGGAAGACCTTTCTCTCTGTCTCTCTCTCTCACTGTCCACTCTGCCTGTCAAAAAAAAAAAACCAAAAAAAAAAACCAGGCCCAGCACATCCTTGTCTTGCTTCTGTGCCTTTGTTCTGCCTGCCCTGTGCTCTACAGTTCTACTCACATCACAGCAATCAACTGTTCAACTGTGCTTTATATCCAGGTAGGCCTTGGACCTTGTTTTGCTAACTCTTTATAGCCAGTACCCAGCAACTGAAAGGCAGATGTAGTAGGGTTTGGTTAAATGCTGATGTAAATTGTTCATAGGATATCCTATTTAACAGAGCTGTCACTCTGTAGGTTGGAGTGATGGATGGTAGAGTTAATCCTATTCAGTATAAGGCTGACCTTTTGATTAATGGATTATAGATTTACAGAAAAAAAAAAAAAAACAGGTAGAACAGGGCTTCCACATACTGGCCCCTGCTCACCTCACACAGCTGCCCCTAGGACTGACACCTTATAGTACAGCACGCTTATCTATATGTGACACCAGGATCACAGGGAGTCAATGTGTGTGCCTTATGATTAACTCAAGTTCATACTTTGTTTCCTTAGTTTTTGCCTATGTCTTTCCCTCGCTCCAGGATCCCACGCAGGATAGAACATCACACTGAAATGTTATGTCTACTTAGGTTACCTGCCCTGTGATGGTTTCTCAGACTCCCCTTCTTTTGGATGACCTTGCCAGTTTTGAGGAGTGTTGATAGAGCTTTGTGTAGACTGTCCTCTCTGGGAATTTGATGCTCTCTTGGTCTGCCTGGGGTACTGAGTTTGGGGGAGGAAGATCGTCGAGGTGAAGTGCTTCATCACATTATCAGGGGTGCCTGGTGTCTTTCAGTGTTGATGCTGACTTTGATCACCTCCCTGGCTGAGGTGTGTTCTGTGTTTGTCAGGTGTCTCCACTGAAGACTTACTTTATTGCCTTGGTTTTCAGGCTGTGCTGTCTGGAAGGAGGTCAGTACATGCAGCCCACAGCTAACAAGAAGGGAGTTATGCTTACCCTCCATCAGGGTGAAGTATCTGTTATTTGATTTCTTCTGAATTGGAGATTTGTCTCTTCTTCCCCACTTATTAGCTTATTCATTTATTTATGTCCATATGCATTCATAATCTATAATTTGAATCAATTCAATAATAGTTTATCTTATCACTCAGATTGTTCAAGTCTTTGATCATGGTATTTTAAATACATTTTTATTGTCATGGAGCTTATTTGAAACTAAATAAAAATGAATCATGCTTAATGATAATCTGTATTTCTCACATAAGAAAACATTTTTCCCGCTTAATGAAATTTGCTTATCTTCTGTGCTTATCCAAAAATACATCAAAAGGAAAAAAAATCTATGAATTTTAGTAATGGATTACCAGTTAAACTATTCCTTTTATTGCCTCATCAAGAGCATTCTTAAGTGAAACTGTTATTTTTTTTTCTAAGATTTTATTTATTTATTTGAGAGGCAGAGTTACAGACAGAGAGAGAGAGACAGAAAGGTCTTCCATCCATTGGTTCACTCCCCAGATGGCTGCAACGGCCAGAGATGAGCTGATCCGGAGCCAGGAGCCAGGAGCTTCTTCTGGGTCTCACATGTAGGTGCAGGGGCCCACACACTTGGGCCATCTGCCACTGCTTTTCTAGGCCATAGCAGAGAGCTGGATTGGAAGAGGAGCAGCCGGGACTAGAACCTGTGCCATATGGCATGCCAGTGCCGCAGGCAGAGGCTTAGCCCACTATGCCACAGTGCCAGCCCCAAACATTTTTTTTTTTTTTTTAATCAAACTGAGAGTGGCAGGGGTAGCCTTGTGGTGTAGTGTGTAAAGCCACCATCTGCAATGCTGGCATCCCATATGGGTGCTGTTCATGCCCAGCTGTGCCACTGCCCATTCAGCTCTCCACTAATGGCTTGGGAAAGCAGCAAGAGATGGCCCAAGTACTTGGTCCCCTACCATTGAGAAGAAGCTTCTGGCTTTGGCCTGGCTGTTGCAGCCATTTATGAACCAGCTGATGGAAGATCTCTGTGTGTGTGTGTCTCCCTCTCTCTGTAACTCTGCCTTTCAAATAAATGAATCTTTTAAAAATAAATAAACTAGGGACCGGTGCTGTGGCGTAGTGGATAAAGCCACTGCCTGCAGTGCTGGCATCCCATATGGGCACCGGTTCGAGTCCTGGCTGCTCCACTTCCAATCCAGCTCTCTGCTATGGCCTGAGAAAGGAGTAGAATATGGCCCAAGTCCTTGGGCCCCTGCACCCACGTGGGAGACCCAGAAGAAGCTCCTGTCTCCTGGCTTTGGATTGGTGCAGCTCTGGCCATTGTGGCCAATTTGGGAGTGAACCGTCGGATGGAAGACTTCTCTCCCTCCCTCCCTCCCTCTCCCCCACCCCGCCTCTCCTTTTCTCTGTGTGTAACTCTTTCAAACAAATAAATAAATCTTAAAAAAAAAAATAAACTAGGGTTAGCAGTGAAGAGTATGACTCTTAGAATAATTTAGTGCCACTGCCTTAATGTCTGCCAAAGTACTAGTAGCTTTATCCAACAGTAAATGTTAGCACGATAAAAGGAAAGATGTATTAATTCTATTAGTAAATTACTAT